TAAAAAGGGGCAGGAGACTAAAAATAAATTTTCTGAAACCAACATGATCAACAATAGAAATAGGATGCTCGTGCAAGATTATAGCACAAGCTAGCTCATGTCCTGAAGCATCCTGATCAAATGTGAAAGTTTCAAAACGAACCTTCCCATCATTTTTCTTCTCCACACTAATTTATTTCTTCTTTTCAAAGCACTCTACAATGTTTGTACTTTTTTTTGCTTGAATAGGGACCCAAATGATTTTTCAGAACTGTTGTTCCGTTAATGCCACCAGCTTTAAAAACTTTATTACAATAATTGCAAGTTCCCACCGTTTTTCCATTTTCAATTTTGTTTTCAAAGTGTTTCCAAACTTCTGAAGTTAAATTGCGAGAGCCATAGGGTCGTGGGCATTTCTTACTTGAATCTTCTAATCGAGGTTTAGATGAAGTAGGTCTAATCTTACTTGAATCTCCTAAATTTGGACCGACATTCCTTGAAGATACAGTAGTAGTATTTTGGCAGTTCTCCTCAACAATCTAGACATTTTCACTAGTTGACATATGTAGTCAACTGTAAACCAAAAATTGTATTAAATCACAAAATAACCAAACAATAAGCAAACTGGTAGTAGAGTCGAAATAAGAACAAGCAAACAAGAAACGTTTAACAGAAAAATAAAGAATGCAAGAATCTTCCAACAATCGATTTTGCAGTAGAGAAAATACATAAAGAAAATATATAAAAAAAAAAAGAAGATGAATCACCTAAAAAATAACCTTACCTAATGAAGAAAGGGGACTAGTTTTAGTTTAGGGTTAAATTTTTTAAAAGACTTGTCTTTTAGCAAGTGGGTTTAGTGGTGTACTCTACGGTGATATGGTCAAATTAATTATTAGTCCGTTTAAAATTTTTAAGGACTTTTGTCTTTTAGCTAGTTTGTATGATTGGATGGCATTTTTTTTTTTTTTGTAGTTGACAATATTTTTAGTTTAGGGTTAAAATCTTATAATGTTATTTAGATAAAATAATATAATACTTTGTTACTATAAATGTTATTTAGAATTTTTTTTCTTTTATAAAATCTTATAATGTTATTTAGATAAAATTATATAATATTTTATTATTATAAATGTTATTTAAAATAATTTTTGTTTTGTTTTTATAACATATAATTTATTATGTGATATAAAAAAATATATAAAATAAGTTATTGATATTGTACCTTACTTAATCATAATATTTTATCATGTGATATAGAATAAAAATTATATAATCTTTCATCACTATACATGTCTAGACAATAGACATCTAGTAGGTTTGGAATTTTGATTGCATTATTGTAAATCTTATTAGCCTCCTATACATTTATTTATAATGTATAATCTATAATCAAGTGATATAGAATAAAGTATATAAAATAAGTCATTGATATGTGTATCTTATCATAATGATTTATTTTATAAAATAAAGTATATAAAATATTTTAAATAAATGTATAAAGTACATAAAAGATCTAGAATAAATATACTATTTTTAATTTTAAATTTGCAATCTCTTAACATGCTATTTAGATTAACTTAACCAATAGTCATAATGTTGGACATTACTTTGAAATGTCATAATACCTTATCATACAGAGATTATGAAATAAATTATATAATTTTTTTATCATTATACTTATAAATATTACCTAAAATAAATGTGTTATATTATCATAGTAACCCCTCAATTAATTGTTCAAAATAATTATTAAAATGATAAAATAGTCTTCTAAAGATAATTATTAAAAGTATATATTTATTTATGTATATATTACTATGTGAATATTTGTATATTATACTAAAGTATCATGGTTATATCATGATTTCTGAATCAGATATAACCTGCAATTTTGCTGAATCCCCTTTGCAGCCATGTTATAGATTATAGACTTTAATCGAGTTTTTTCTTTAGAAAGGCAAATGAAAATCTTAATTCTTAAAATGGGGTACTTTTAAACTTCATTCTTAAATAAAAATATTTTGATTTAATTAAAGTTCATGTCAACATTATAGTCCATATCACGGTTTCAAATAGCTATTGGATGGCGGTATAACAACCACTATTTTGTGGTAGTATCGACCTCCAAAACCATTATCTTTCGCTATAGAGATGAGAGAGACGAATCACATAAATAATGGCTCTTTACAATCTTAAATAGCAGAGAAAAACTAAATAGCAATAATATTGGTCCACTTTTCTCACAATTGACTACTATTGAGGGTTCTATGGTGCTTTTTTCTTCATTTTTATCAAATCAAAATTCTAATACATAGAACTATAAAGACAAAAATCCATACCAAATCATAAGAATCAAAGAGATAGTGCTCTTTCATAGCTTCCATGCTTATCAATTGTAGCAAGTGAAGGTTTTTAATCTTTTCAACCTTGAGAAAAAAGAGCCCAAACATGAAAGTAGAGAAAATTAATTGAAGCAGGGGCCACAAAGGTCTGGTTGCTGCATAAGGTTGGACAGATGTATTTGGCTGTGGAGGGGATTGCATGGATGAGAAGAAAATTAAAACAATGAACTTAGGTGAGGGACAAGGGAGAATGGAGTAGGAGAAGAAACATAAGAGAAGGAGAATGGGGAGATTTTAGGGGAGCAGTCACATTCTCACGTGACTTTAAATTAAAATTAAATTTTTTTTTTTTGTTTATATGAAAAGTTGGGAAGGAAAAGCAATTAAATAGTGAAAATTAAGAAATTGAGAAATTTTTTAATGATTTAGATAAAAATTGATAGGGAATGAGATGATAAAAATGAATTTATTTTTATGATTTTTTAAAAGTTATTTTCATGAATATTTTGTATGTATTAATATGGTTTAAAAATAATTAAATTTAAATGACTAAAGTTTTACTACTTAATATTATTGGTTTTTTTTTGTGCTTGATTAAAGTTTGGTTGTTAAATTTAATTTGTGAATTATAATATATTAAATTTTTCATCCATTATATTTTTAACTAAATTAATTTATGAGTTTAATTTCATATAATTAAAAAAGATAGAAAAATATTTAACTTTTATGTATAATACTATTTTATCACTCTTATATAGTTATGATAGTGAATATCACGATATTCATGAAAATATTTAAACAACTTTTAAATATGGATTAAATTGAATATTAAGATATAATATAAAAAATATTAATAATTTATTTTCTCATTTAAGTAAAGAAATTAAAATGTTCTAAATTATTTTAAATATCATAAATAAGAGTTTTCATTATTGCAATTATAGTTTACTCCATTATATAATGAGTTGTATAAAAATAAAAAAAAAAATTACTATTGTGATAAACGTAATAACCGTTTTTTTATTCGTTATGTTTGTAATTATAATAAATATGACGTAACCGAAAGTACGATCGTAATCTCAATTTAAATCCTTAGTCCATATAAGCATCTTTTTCCCATTAAACATAAATAATCGATCTCTTATCTTTATCATGTAATCTCATCTAAGAAGAAAAAAACCAGCTTCATCTCATCAGCTCCATCATCATCTGAGATTTTTCACAATCTGCAACTTCAAATAGAGATAAGAAGGAATTTAGATCTAAAACCGAAAAAAATAAGGAAAAAGAAATGTTACCTAACGAAAATTGAAGAGTTTTTTCGGGTGAAGTCCTCGTGGAGGCTACCATGGTCCTCCACCTTCACATGCTCTTCCAAGTGCTTTCTATCAGTGCCTCGAAAGGAATATGAATGCTTTTATATCTCCTCATTGTGGTTGGGCTAGGGAGGGCATAAGAAAGAGACTTTGGAGTCCGCCGTCCACTATCTCCCAAGCATGAAGGCAGGTTTCCCGATCATAGCATGCATATATATCAACCGGATTATCTAGACGATGATTACAAGGGGAGTAGATTTGATAGGTCAATGCCAATGGATTGGGGACATGGAGACTGTAAAAGGGGCAACTTCTTCAATGAAAGGAAACGGTATGAGAGGCGACCACCATGCATCTGCACCTCTACCTCCACTTTTACAGCTTCTTCCCTCAGACATATGGCCAAGTGATGTGAGAGAGAGGAGTAGATCACCAATCAGGGCTCTCCTCCGCCAAAAGAATATTATCAAGATATATACTGTGAATATTGACCGCCCAAATGCTGCATTCAGGCCTGTGGAAAATAGCAGAGGAAAGAATGCCAAGCAACTGACTTGGGTTTTACTTCTTATGACTCATCGTGTTGTCGGTTATGTTGCTCGGATTGCTACACTCTTCTGAGCATTGCTACACTCTCCAAGTAAATTTCCTCCCTGTAGGTTTTGGTGTTACTTGGTTGAGAATTAAGGGAAAAAAAATAACAAATATTTATGTCTTAGGAGATGCTGACATGGAAGTATAAATCTGACGTGGAATTCAATTAGATTAAAATGCCTTTATTTAAGAATAAAATTTAAATATACTCTATTTTAAGAATTAAAATTTAAATCTATCTTAGTTCAGGAAAAAACTCCACTTTAATCCGCTCTGAAAGAAAGGGGTTCTTTTTTCTATGCAGGCCCATGTCTCCGGCACACAGCATTCCCCAACTTAAGCTCTAATTTTTCCGTTGTGATTTAAGAGATCAAAATCTAAACTTGAATTAGGACTGAAATGCGACAGCCTTTTCTTTTTTATTTTTTTTTTTTTGGTTTAAGACTGCTCAAATTGAATACATCTGATTGAACACAAACAACTGTACATCGGCTTCATTGCGTTGTGAAAACTGCGAAGGCTGTGAAGGGATTATGCCGCTTCTGAAAAATGGCTACTCGCTTATATTCTGGTCTCAATCCTATGATTAACAAGTTGAGCAGAGATTGAAACGACAAGTATGCAACAAGATTTTGATACCAAAATTAACGAGCATATTCACCAAGAAACACACTGAAAATGCAAGTACAGCAGAAAAACAGACAGCTTCCCGAGGGGTTTGCAATTTTTCACGAGGTTTGGGAAGCTAAAAGCATTTCCATTTGCCATCCCATTGGATCAAGATAAAAGATTGAATTGACAAAACTATATCACTCAAAACAAGCATTAAATCAGCTCATATTAATGAGCGACAATTAAGTATCAAAATTGCATTTCACGTAAGATTCATTACTTGCGTACAACAAGCGGAGCCTAAACCCCACTCCAAAATGTCAAAAATTGCAAATAGGAATTAACAAAAATAAAGTAGTTCCTGGATTAGCCTCATTCAAAGCAATTATCTAAACAATAAACAAACTTTTAAGGGGGGAAAAAAACAACACGTAAATTCCTTTAAATAGGATAGTGGAAAAATAAATCGAATTTTACTTCAAAAATCAATTAGTGACGACAAAAATTAGTAATGAGTCGGTTGAATCTTCAAATTATTCCGGCTAAAAATAATGAGAGAAAGGACCTTGATGTGCTTGTAAAGAGATGAATTATAAGAACAATCGTGATCTTCGCAGCTGTGGTCATGCGTACACGCCATTTTCGCTTGATCTTTCTCTTCGTCAACTCCAAGCTCTCTATCAACCCCAACCACCGCTTTGCTTTCGCCACTCTCTCCAAATCCGCCTCTTGGGTACTTTTTCTTTCTCCTTTTCTATTTCATTTTCATTTTCATTTGTTGTGGTTTTATAGCTTAGAAAAGAGTTCAGCAGAGTGTTGAGTCGACCATTGCTGCGCTTCGGGCACTCTCGGCTACCATTGTCTCTTCTGGTCAGGCGATCTCACCAATTTATTCGGCTTAGCAGCTCATGAAGCCAAGAAATCTCTTTCACAGAACCGGATTTTGAGAGTGGTCAGTATCCATTTCTTTTCACTTCTTACTATTGCCATCATTGGTTAAGTTGGGAAAAGATTCCAACTTGAGACTTCCTTTTCTAAGTACACCTGCTTAGATGATTTTGTCTATAATTTCAAAGCTTAGATCGAAAGGGAACCGTTCGTGCGGGCTTTGAGGAATTAGTTGAGAGTCATCGGGAACACTTGCTGAAGTTCCATTAGATGGTGTACAGACAATTTCTTGAGAAGAACTCTCTTTGTTCTGTGCTGCTGGTGCCTGTATGATATTTTGTGGCTTAAATTGCTTCTGCAAAATTAAAAATACCATTAGGCACGTATTCTGGATAACTATTTGTAGAAACAAAACGCATACACCAGCAGTGGCTACTAAGTTGGAACTTAACAAGATACAAGAACCAAAGGCCTATGAATCGCATTGGAATGGCATCCTGAGCCATGTTCAAAGGCTATCATATCGATTATCGAAAACAAATCTTGCTTGAATCATACAAAATTTTTACATAAAAATGGAATTCATCACTGCTGCAATTAGAATACAAAGCCAACCTACCAAAACACTATAAAATTGTTACATAATATCGGGCGTCAATCTAAGAAAGTGGATTATTTATATCGGCTACTATATTGATAACCCTAAACTTCAGAGCATACAAATAACCAGACAACCAGTTCCTAATGACATAATTTAGACCATCCAATTGATTGATGAATTTGAAAGTTCTCATGCATACACGTCTACGTTCAGCTCTCCAAAAGGAAAAGAATAGCACTGATGTGCTTATACGTACACACCTCAAAGTCTTTGGCAGCAGCTGGTTCTCGCGCTTTTATGATATTCCATAATATGCTACCACCTGTCCGACAACATCTGCCATCAGTAGTTATCTGACCTCATCAAGATTGAATTGCATCCACCTGAGAAATTTAGGTTTCATAATACATCCCAATAGGAACAATTGCAGGGAAAAGGAATGCAAACACTCTTGGGTGTGGAAAGAAAAAAAATGAAGGCAAAAAAGGAGCAAAGGGAGGGTGGGATAGTTAAGTAGCAAATGATGAGAATATTGTTTGATCAAAGCTTAAACTATAAAAATCATCATCATAACTTCAAGCAATTACTGAACATTTAACAAAAACCATAGATTTGCAACAGATGAAAAAGGACAAAAAGAAGAAGAAACAAGTCATAGTTTACCAATTATTCAAGTAACATCTCAAGCAATGGTAGCCAAGGTGAAGACTTTAACGCATCGCATCCTGTAAGGCATGGATAAATTAATTACTCCATCAGACACCAAACCGGGGGAAAACACAAAAGAATTATCTCCAAATCAAACAAAAATTACAGTGTTTACTCTTATTCTATGTAATTCTCACTTACATGCACAGCCAAATATCTCTGCTAAGAAGTCGAGCATTATGTTGAAATTAAGTTTTCACTTCTCTTCAGTTGCAAGGGATACTAGTGATTGTTGAAGGTTTATCAGCCAATGATAGGATTGGTTCTTAAAATAGCATTTATTGTGAACTCATACCACTCAATTTTATTTTTAGAAATTCTTAAAAAAGGTATATGTTCACAAATCCCACTCCTGACCACCCTTCCGTAAACAACAAGAATACCAGAAAACTTTATGGCATCAATTTAAACAAAAGGCTTCTTTAGGCCTTATCCTACAATCTAGATGAAAAGACATGAAGAGCTGTCATTTAAATTTTGAACATATCCATTCTTATAGTTGGCTTTTGATATGTGAAAATCTACTTGATAAGTTATTTTACATCACATTGAGCGGTGCATGTCCAAGAAAGAAAAATGATAACAACCCATATGAAAAGGAACTTATGAAGTGGGTTCATCTCAGCTCAGGGCACAGGATTTGAAGTAGCATATGGCATCTGCAAGAAAAATCTGCAACGGTAGTGAAAACATTGTAGATCATCAGATGTTAAGAGTGGAATGTTTTTTAAAGAGAGTGGTCAAGCACTGTCAACCCAGGCAGGCTAAAAAAGAAGAACAACCCAAATTTTCACCTTTCCTTGAGAACAAAATAGATATTTTTTTCGTTCACCAACAGCAAAGATTTATTTCTAACAGCATGGATCTTACCGTAAAAAATAGAGCCAATGTAAAAGGGGTAAGCTCAGATCAATCAGAAGTTGCAGTAAAAAAATTCCTATTGTAAAAGTTGTAGGTAACCATTAAGATGACAACAAAAGACAAAACTGGAATTACCTAGAACAGCTCAGCAAGGTATAGTGAAGTAGGAATGGCCACAGAGTGGAAATTCACTAATTTTAAAATGTTCATATTTAAATTCATTTATTTTTCATGATATCCGAATTTGTTTAATTATCAGTTTAAATTCAACTTCATTATCCGAATCTGTATCCACTTAAATAATCACTATCTGTTAAATATTTGAATCCATTAAAATATCCGTTTATAAAACTAAATACAGTAAATTATCCAAAAAAACTAAACACAGTAACACACTAATATAATTTGATAAATAAACATCCAACTTGAAACATTTTATTAACTAAAAACAACCATAAAACTTAGTTCTATCAACTCATGAATGATCATTCTTCTTCTTCAACAATAAATGTGCCAGTGGAAGAAACACTTGAATTTGATCCTACACAAATAAAATATATAAATATTAATGTAACTCTGGAGACGAGGCATAATAGAGTTTATTTTTGAAAAAGCAAATATTATGTATATATTACTGCAAATAGACGATTCAGAAGAGAGATTTCAGATTTCTGAAATACAGGTTATATCTGCGCCTACTTGTGCCCACGGATGATAACCTAATTACACAACAAAATATTATTTGAAGTGAGGAACTAATTTTCCTCACAAAATCCTCATTAAAATGGATACAATTGGGTATGGCAAATAAATATATTTGTGACTAAACCTCGGTTGTCAGTGAAGGAGCTTCCCTTCCAGAAGTCAGAGTCAGAATTGGTGCAAATAAGTAATGACAAGCATCCAGCAATCGGCAATACAAGCAACTCAAACTTGAGGAATAATACAAGAAATCAAACGGGGGTCTAGATAAGCACATGAATGATACAAAAATAAGGAATAATATCAACAAGTACCAAAACAGGGAAGTAAGTAGGTTGACAGAAACTGTTGCGAAAATTTGTATAATTCCTAACATGAAATTCGAAAATATTTCAAGCTATCTTCTTTGAGCTAGTTTCTCTAGGCTATAAATACACAGATCAGTCATCCAATACCAATAATACAAAACAATTAGCCAATAAAAGAGTAGACATACATAATTGGAGGAATACAAAAGAATTCAGATTAGCAAGCTAGTGCTGTCTATACTGAAGAGGGTGAATGATAAGACAAAATGGTCACAAATTAACTGCTTTAAATTTGAAGGAAACCATGGAGAAGCAAAGGCTTCCTCCAATCGTGAAAGTAGCTTACTTTCGGCACCATGCAAAAGGTGGATTGCTATTGTAAACAACAAACACCCGTGTCTGACTGGATGCGCGTCAACTGTTGAGCTCCCAAAAATTCTACAATGCAAGTTACATTTTCTTTTTAAAGCACAATAAAATAACTGAACAAGAGCATTAAGTAAAGCTACAAAAAATTGGAAGGGGCAAAAATAAGACAAAATAGTGAAATATAAACAGGTTATTGTGTCATGAAACAACGGTCGGTTTCATGGGTCTTCTCCCGTTTAACTAAATCTTGGCTCCAAGCGGCAGTCAGGTCGCCATGGATTAGCACCTGCTGTTGACTCTGTTATGGAGCCAGTCTGCTATCAGTCATGAATTTAATATCACATTTGATCGGAGAATCCCGATTTGCAAACGCAAACAGTAAATAACAAATAATTTTTAATATTCTAGTGTCAGTAGATAAATTCTAGGAAAATATTACTATTGGATCTCCTGATTTTCTCTTGGATCTCACTGCGAGGTAAGAGAAGGCAATTTGTATTACATATTTCTATTGGATTGATAGAAAATATATTTGCCTCTATGGTTTCCTTTTTCTTTTGGGGGGGGGGGGGGGGGGGGGTAATTAGTACAGCTATCCCTGTGTGATCACTGTCGCTGATAATTTGTTCGCTGACACCGCTTTTGTCATTTTTTTGTTTTAAAAAATAGAAATATCTTTCAATTTACTTTTCAGTAAATCATTTTTTTTGTTTCAATTAATCTCTGTGGGCTATAAAGTTTTTTTTAAATGGTCATTATAAATATGCTGATTTCTTTAGCTTTCATGTCTTTATGTGAACTTTCAAATTTGTGAGTGTCAGCTTTTCACTAGTCTCCGACAAGAACTTCAGTTTTCAAAACAAAATTCCAATTTTTTTTTAATGTAAAGGCCGTTCATTTTTTGCTCTCAACAAATAATTGGTGTTAGTTGAATTTTTCATTTTAATTCTATATTTTCTTCCATTGTAAATTCGTAGGAAATTTGTTAGGAATACTAGTGGAAAGCTAGAACGCAGGTTTGTAGTGGAGCTGTAATGATGGGTTCTTTGCAGCAGCCCATGAGGGTCAATAGACCATCATTTCCTCTAAAAGGGTCAGGTATTACTGGATTCGCGCACCAAATTAAGCTTTAGTCAGTGAAGCCTTGAAGAGCTCAACTTGAAGGGAGTTTAGTTACAGGAAGGCCTCCATCTCCAGTCTCTGTCCCTGTGCTAGAAAGCAGCTTTGTGGACCGTGGCCTTAGTGAAGCTGATCCTGAGGTTCCCGCAATTACTAGCAAGGAGAAGCAAAGGCAGCTCCACAGCCTTGAGCTTATTGCTTCAGAGAACTTTACATCCCGTGCTGTGATGGAAGCAGTTGGGTCATGTCTCACAGACAAGTATTCCGAAGGACTACCTGGTAAAAGGTATATCTAATTAAGCAAATGCATAGATGTTTAACCTTTGTTGGTTTTGATTTAATTGTTTGCAGCTAATGATCTTATTGTTTATTGCAGGTACTATGGTGGCAATGAGTACATTGATGAACTTGAAACACTTTGCCAGAAGACAGCTTTAGCGGCATTTCACTTGGATGAAAAAGAAGTGGGGAGTTAACGTTCAACCATTGTCAGGTTCTCCTGCTAATTTTGAGGTTTATACAGCAATTCTTAATCCACATGATCGAATAATGCTAAGATGTTAGATGCTTCTATGGTTTTAGCTGCTATAATTTAATTCTCTCTCTTGGATAATGCAGAAATCAATAATTTCTTAATATAACCGGTATAGGGTCTGGATTTACCTCATGGGCGACATTTGTCACATGGATTTATGACTGCTAAAAGATGAGTATCCGGCACATCAATTTATTTTGAGTCAATGCCTTATCGACTTGATGAATCCACAGGTTATGCATCCTTATCATTAGACTGACTAGGGTTTCTTGGTTGGTACACTGGCTTGATGGTTGATTCAATTTATCTGAATTTTGGAACAGGCCTTGTTGACTATGACATGCTTGAGAAAACAGCTACTCTCTTTCGATCAAAACCCATAATTGCTGGTGCCCATGCCTATCCTCGAGATTTTGATTATCCTCGCACGAGATGCTTGTGTCATATATTGAAATTCAACTTTTAAATTCTTACGATTTTAAGATTTAAATATGCATTTGTTTAGAATTTTAAATCAATTTATTTATCATAATTTATATTTTTGTAACATATTATTTATTTTAATTCATTTGATTTTATGATTTTATCTTATAAAATATATCTTACAAAAAGAGATATATATAAACTCTTATATCTCAAAATTAATTCTAGTATATAATCGATGTGAGATTTATGATTTTTTTTTAAGAACATGACATCTTTTTCCACTCCAACGAAAGTCGATCATTTTTGGTGACACATCATTTATACTTTCAGAATTGATTCTGATATCAATTGTTATAGGTCAAAACTCAACTTTCAAGCTTGCGCAGCTTTAAAACTTGGACATACACTTATCTGACATCATATATTAATTTATCTGTTACGATTTATACTCTTATGAGATATTGTCCGTTTTAATCTCTCTGATTTTACGATTTTATCATACAAAAGATATCTCACATGAAAAAATATGTGTAAACTCTTATAATTCAAGATTAACTTTAGCACATAATTGATGAAAAATTTATGATTTTTTTTTAAAACCGTGACACTTGCTAATTGTACTGTAATATCTATCAAAATTTACCTACCACTGAATGAAAACTTTTTTTTTTTTTATGTATTTGCATATATTTTAGCATCGAACTTATTAGAATTCATATCTGTTGGAAGATCGCAGATGCTGTTGGTACATTTCTTATAATGGATATGGCTTATATGAGTGGACTTGTTGCTGCTTCTGTAGTTGCTGACCTCTTTGAATATTGTGATATTGTGACAACTACACACAAGGTTGGGGTTGCATATTTTTAATTGCTGTGTTGAGCTCTATGTATGTTAATTTACTTGACATATCGTTAGTTTGGCTTGTCGTAATATTTATATTTACTTAGGACACTTGAGAAATTTTACTTTCATGTAGCATGGCTAATCTCACTTGATCTTTTCCCTCATCTAGTACAGAATGCAGCCTTCACTTTGTTTGGATCCTGATTTACTTATCATGTGCATTAGAAAGATCTGCTCTGCCCATAAACTCACCAATACTGTTGTATCTTCCAAATAGTATTATTTACTTCCTTTGCATTAATGCCCATGTGAATAACCTACTTAATTTTTTTTTACTATTTCCAGTCTTTGAGAGGTCCAAGAGGTGGCATGATCTTCTTCAAGAAGGATCCTGTTCTTGGAATTTATTTAGAAACTGCCATCAATAATGCTGTTTTTTCAGGTTTATAGGTTAGTTTGACATCTTTTACTCCTATTAATAATCTGAATTCTCCTATTCTAACCTTCTTCTGGCTTTCAAACTGAGGCTTTTAAGTTATGAAACTAGTTACATATTGTGAGAGGCATAATCCCTGGCTTAGTTTTTCCGTATAGAGGTGACCTTAAACTAAAGCTCATTCTTTAGGAATTTTTTAATTTTTTCATGCTTGGTTATAGGCTTTTAAATTTTTATATGGCTGAAAAAAAAAAACAAGAGAGTGTGGCAACAAAATAGAAGAAAAAAAAAAAAAGGTTTTGTGTAGTTTTGATTAAATAATTTGATCGAGGTCAATTCGTTATTCGATTGAACTAAAATTTTAACAGTATATTTACAACTTATTATTTTTCAGTCTGAACAATAGGGATTGGATTTGGAATTTTTTATTTATTGATTTCGTGAATATTTGTTAACTCCTAAATTTGTTTAGTCTTTTTCAATTTTTTCTTGTAATATTATTTTTTTATCAAAATTATTTAATTTTAAAATATTGTGATTGTATACCTCTAATTTTAACTAAAGAGAATTTTGTATTCTCATTATTTTAATAATAAAAATTATTTGTTATTACCTTGATTTTTACTTTTAGTTTTAGAGAGATTTTTCATGTAAATTACTTATGTTCTTGTACTTGTAGTTTAATAATTTATTTATTAACTTTATTTGTTTGATTTTTATTAAATTCACATAAAAAAGAATAATTTGATTTTTTTTCGCTGAATGACACAATGGGTGGACTAGCAGTTTGCTTAAAACATGCAGAGTCGCCCGAGTTCAAGGCTTACCAGAACCTGGTACTGTCCTTCCAAGATAAAAAATTTAGTCGAAGTTTTGTCCTGGTGATCAAGTCTAATACGGGTACTTCATCCTGCAGGTAGTGTTTAATTGTAGAGCTCTTGCAAGCCGATTGGTTGAACTTGGCAACAAGCTGGTTTCTGGTGGCAGCGACAATCACCTTGTACTTGTGGATCTGAGGCCATTGGTAAGTTACCATCTCTGTAAGACATGCCAGACGTGTGCTCTTTATCTTTAAAATCTGAGTAGCATTGGAACTATTGTTCTGATTCTTTTATAGACATCCTATGCTCCCTTTGCCTCTTTCTTTATGTTACTTCTCCTTCAACAGGGTATCGATGGGGCTTCTGTGGAGAAACCACTTGACATGGCCTCTATCACCTCGAACAAAAACTCGGTGCCTGGTGAGTTCTGCCTTATTTGCGCTTTTTAACTTTATTTTTTAAATTCATTTAAAATTTTCTTTTTTCTTATGTCACCAGTACTTGCACATCTCAAATTTTGCAGGGGATAGGATTAAGAGTGCACTTGCGCCCGGTGGCATTCGCATCGGATCACCTGCTATGACTACTATAGGATTTACAGAAAAGGAATTCACAGTTGTTGCTAAATTCATCCATGAGGGCATGCAAATAACTATTGATGCCAAAGATGAAGTTTGTGGCATCTCGCCGATTTCCTTTGACCGGAAAGGTGTCAAATCTCCGTAGCAGAGTTGAAGCGCTAACAACCTGATTTCCCATCCCTGGCGTATGAATGGCATGGATGGCAGTAGTAATGAGAATTTGAGAACATCAAAACAAGGTCAATCCAACACAGTTTTCAGCTTTTGTATTTGTACGTACTAACAGATAGATATATAAAAATTTTGAAGCGTTCTTGAGATATAATGTTCAAATATATCAATTTCTTATTTCCAGCCATATGTGTTAAAATTACAAGTAAGAAGTAATAGTCCTAATCCTAGGGTGAATAAATGATTAGTTCGATCGGTTTGATTTGAAAAAATTAATAATCGATTTAATCGATTTTCATTTGACAAATAATCGAATCGATTGAATATTATTAAATAATCGATCATAATCAAACCGATCGAAATCGGTTCAGTTAAATAATTAATTTTTTTTATCATTTTTCTTTTTATTATAAATAATTATTTAACCACAAATTAAATTCAATAAAATTCAAACTCTAGTATCATCCAAATTAAATTACTAAAGAATTTAATAATTTCAACAATATTTTACAAAAAAAATAAATAAAAATATTTATCTCAATTTTTTTTATTTTTAATTATTAAAAAATTAATTAATTCGATCAGTACGA